ACTCAAGTTGACTTTTTAGGATACATCATTTCAAATGATGGTCTTATGATGGATTCTAAGAAAGTCCAAACAATCATGGATTGGAAGATTCCAAAGACTGTAAGAGATGTCCAATGTTTCTTGGGATTTGCCAATTACTATCGGATCTTCATCAAAGACTTCTCACGAGTTGCAGCTCCACTTACACGCTTGACTAGTAAAGATAAATTCCAATGGAATCAAGAAGCGGAAGCAGCATTTGAAGCCTTGAAGACATCGTTTGTCTCTGCACCAGTCTTATATCGTGTTGTCTTTTCCAAGGTATTTTTTATGGAAACAGACGCATCGGATTTTTCCTTGGGTGCAGTTTTATCACAAATGGGAACAAATGACAAACTTCATCCGATAGCTTTTCATTCAAGAAAATTCTCAGCAGCCGAGATCAATTATGAGATCCACGATAAAGAACTTCTTGCAATCGTGGATTCTTTTCAAGAATGGCGTCATTATCTAGAAGGTGCTTCTAATCCAGTCACTGTGTATACAGATCACAAGAACCTCAAGTATTTCATGTCAGCACGCGTGTTGAATCGTCGTCAAGCTCGTTGGAGTATGTCTTTGTCAAGATTTGACTTCATTATCACTTATCGGCCAGGAAAACAACAAGGTTTGTCCGATGCCCTGTCTAGACGTTCTTATTTTGTACCAAAAGAAGGAGATGCAGCTTTTGAGCAACAAAGAACGGTCCTCTTGAAACCGGAGCAATTTCATCTCCGAGCAGTGAAATCAACACTGACTGTTGATTCAACTTTTCTCAAGCAAATCCAGTGCAGTATGTCCTCAGACCCTCTTGTTCATGATATCGAGAATAATTCTTCCAAGTCTCATGATTCTTCTAAGTTCGAGTTTAAGAATAATCTATTATATTTTGAAGGACGCCTATATGTTCCAGAAGGAAAAGCACGTTTGCGTGTTCTTCAAGCACGTCATGACTTTCCAGCAGCAGGTCACTTTGGATATAATAAGACTTTGGAACTCATATCAAGAGATTTTTGGTGGCCACAAATGTGGAAGTCAGTCAAAGACTTTGTACAATCATGTGATATTTGTTCAAGATCAAAAATTCCTCGACATCGACCTTACGGACTTCTTCAGCCATTACCTATACCAGAACAACCATAGTCTTCTGTTTCTATGGATTTCATCACAGATCTTCCAAACTCAAGATCTTATGATTCTATATTTGTGATAGTAGATCGTTTCACCAAGATGGCACATTTTATGCCATGTACAAAATCTATCACAGGTGAAGAAACAGCTAAGCTTTTCATTGATAATATCTATCGCTATCATGGATTACCTAAAGATATCATATCGGATAGGGGAACTCAATTTGTGTCGAGATTCTGGAGGACTCTTTTCAAGATTTTAAAAGTGGACATAAAGCTATCTTCAGCTTTCCATCCTCAAACTGATGGACAAACAGAGCGCGTAAACCAAGTCTTGGAACAGTATTTAAGGTGTACCATCAACTACCAACAAGATGATTGGACAATCCTTCTGCCATTGGCAGAGTTTGCTTATAATAATACAGTACATTCCTCCACGCAACAAACACCTTTCTTTGCCAATTATGGCTATCATCCACGACTTGATACTTTTGATTTTTCAAAAGTTGATAATCCTGCAGCAGAAGATATGGCAAATCGGTTGTCAGAGTTACATGCAATAATGAAGGCGCAGTTGAAGAAAGCTCAAGAACGACAAAAGATAAATGCAGATGTATATCGTAAAGAGCAACCACAACTCAACGTGGGTGATAAGGTATGGCTACTTCGTCGCAATATCAAGACTTTTCGACCTTGTGACAAATTGGACTATCGTAGGCTTGGCCCCTTTTCTGTTTCTGAACAGATCAACCCAGTTGCATATCGGTTACATCTACCGGAGTCAATGAAGATCCATCCTGTATTCCACGTGTCTCTTCTTGAACCATATAAGACAGTGGATATACAAGGAAGAAGACAAATGCCACCGCCTCCTATAGAAGTAGATAATAATGAAGAATTTGAGGTGGAAGAGATATTAGACTCAAGGCGGCGCCGAAATAAGCTGGAATATCTTGTTCATTGGCGCGGATATGATATTAGTGAGCGCACATGGGAGCCATCCAGGAATCTAGCAAATGCATCAGCTAAAGTCAAAGTTTTTCATCAACGACATCCATCAAAACCAAGATGAAAACCTCTCTTATAAAAGAGACAAGATTGAGGCAAGATAACATTCAATTTCCTATCCTTGTTTGTAACTTCTTTGCATTTGTGACGCTAATTAGATGGAGAGCCAACAACCAGCGGATTCAACTCAAGAACCTTCGTTTGCTAACTTACCGGATGAGACATTGCGATTGTCACAACCTTCAAGACGACGCAACCGAGATGAAGACCCTCAAGAACGACATGTTCTTCCTCGAATAGATGGTGAGATACAACGCATTTGGTATCACGACCTTGGAAGAGATTCTCGATGTTTGGTGATATTATTGGAGATAGGAACGACTCCTGATGGTGTTTCAAATGTATTATTTGAAGGAAGTTATGAAGGCCTCAACAGTGATTAAATAACAGGGTGGTCTTCTCGCCCTGGAATGGGACACTATCGATGGCTAAGAGGACCCATCAACTATCTTCGAAGAGAACAAAGATCAGAGTATGTAGCAAATACAATTCGCCGCATATTAGATTTTCTCAATATATAATCACCGCTCCTCGTGGAACTCGTCCCTAGAAGGGGGGGTAATGTCACGGACATACATATAATTACCTATATGAATAGATAAAAGTATGTAAAAGTAGATAAAAGTAGGTTAATTGTATAATATCTTCTAGAGAAGCTTCTTAGAAGCTTCATAGATGCTGCTTTGACTTTATAGGAGTCTATAGTTGACTTTTAGGCTAGAAACTTGGTCAACAAGTTAGCCATGTGCCACACATGTTGGAAGCTTAAAGAACAAGCTAACTACGTGGTCCATCCATAGAAAACTTGCCTTGCAAGCAAAGGCATGTGGCCTAGAAAGTCAACATATATTGGAGGTCTTATAGAACATCGCCATGTGGCTAGATAGTATATATAGAGGCAAGAGTGAAGCCCTCTTCACTCTTGTCAACTCCTTTCTTGCTTCTAGTCTAGTTTCAAGGGTCTCTAGTTTTCTTGTATTTTGGCAATAGCCATTCCAGTTTCTTTCTTAATATACATATTTCTATTTTGTCCTATTTCTTTTTGAGAAAAGTCTCACTTACTCTTTAGCTTTCATCGAGTTCTTGTCCTTGACATCTTACTAGATTACAATAATCTATATTTTTTTAGTTAATTGTTCCAAATGTGGTATTTTTCAGGAATTGTTGGTTTTTTCCAAAATAAATTTAATAAATAATATTTGGATATTTTATTTTTACCCAAATGATAATTTTTGCATGTAGACACATTTTTTTTTTCTTTATTTTAGTTGGCTTTTGTATGTTTGGATTTTGTTTTAGTTTGGGATGATATATTGGTTATATTGTTTTCATTGTAATTCATCATTGGATTATAGATTTTTTTTTAACATCAAAAACTTATTTTGTCATAGTACTTGTGAAAGAACACTGTCCATTAATAACTATAAGTTATATTCTTATGTAAATTCTGTTTTTTTCAATTTATTTTATATTTTTCTAGTATATGTAATTTGTATTTAGAACAATTTATTGCATCAGATTATATGTATTTTTCTTCTAATCCAAACATAAGTAATTTATCAAAGCATATTAACTTATGTTTTAAAACATTTTTTTGTTAAAATTCTGCATTGACATCATAAATGTTACTAAAATACCCGATTCTCCAATTATGTTTGTTAACGTACATTTTGCAATACTTGTTATTACTTGATTTTCGGACCATTTACATAATTTCATGCAATATCCTCAAATTAAGAATGTTATTTGGTTTTCAAATGAATGTTAAATGCCTTTTCAATGCATTTATAATCTTCGTCTTACAGTCATAGGAGAAGTAATATTCGGAAACCTTATCTGAAGTTCTCTCATAAAGTACTCATTTATTCTCTCACAAGACAATTTGACAAAGAAATTGTTAAAAATATGGCTTACATTTCAGTTACGAACTACATTTCTTTCACAGAAATTTATTAAGAAATATGTTAGAGGAATATCACAATCAGAAAGTACTTGGACTTTACCGAAAAGCAAAAATAAAAATAAACTTTTCCCATCTGCAACAAACACACCAATCTAGACACATTGAAATAAAGTATCTTGTAAGCAATTCAGCTGGCTTCATTAGATTAACACGAATTATTATGGTCACAAGCGATATCAAGTCTTCAGTGTCTATTTCATTTATGCACAAAACATTCTTTAAATTTACTATTTTTCACAAGTTATCAAATTTTTACATGCTTCGAGGCGATGGAGTTTGCTGTATCGACCGATGTCATGTGTCCAGCGAGCATAAACTAAGGGGTGTACTTCCAGATGTCACTGATTCCACATTGGCATTCTATGTGGTAATCACAATGTAAGATTATCAGTACAAAAAATTCCACAAGTTCCAAGAGTGAACTGCAGGTGGTGTAAACATTCGCATCTATTGGCCACAGCAATTGTTCAAGGCCACGGGGAGAATAATTCTATCGTACATTAGCTTAAAGACCATCTCAACTCTCAAGTACGAGATGGATACAGGAAGACCATGGAGGTTCTAGACAAAAATCAACTACTACGGTTCAACATTAGGTTGCTGTCCTTCTATCAAAATTTTAATACAAAAACACATCCGGAAAATCAAGCTCTACATTTGTTCCAGAGCACGCTCTCGATGAGGTAAAGGATTAGAAAACGGTTGATGCACACGAAGTTCGTCGCCAAATTCTCTTGCTTCATCGGAAGTATAACGACAAGGAAATGCGCTGCAGTTCCACATCGTTATCTAAGTACGGTGGTTCACTTCGACGTAACATTTCAAACCTTGAAGGGGATAACCTTGCTGAGGATATCATCACTCAACTGCTGCACCTGCGTGTCCAAACTACGAAGCGTATCCTGCTTCTGCTCCTCCAAATTGGCAAGGGACTGCGCGAGTTCCTTCTCAATCCTGTTTCGGGATTCCTGGAGCTTCTCATCTAGCATAGCAGCAGTCTCCTTCTTTGTCTTGGCCAGAGCCTCGGTGGTCTCGATGCGGGCAGCTTTGAGAATAGCCTCAGCCTCATTTTGCAGATTCTTAATCTCACCCGAGTTGTCCCTCACGCCCATGAGCTTGGAACGAATGGCCTCATCACGACTATCCATCACCTTCGCGACGGGCTTGAACCAAATGTTGTCAAGGGCAACCATAAGCAGTAGGAACTGCACGGCGATGATCGGCAGCGTCAAGTTGAAGTCAAAAATCTTACCCTTCGGCTCCTTCTCGACCTCTTCTGCCAGCGCGGGCAACACCATAAGCGCATTGAATGCCAGGAACGACGCTTGCTTCATGAGAGCATTCTGCGATGCGGCATCTTTCACACAACGAATCGCTTGCTTCACGCTCCCCTCCAGCTCCGACAACGACGAAATCCCTGCCCGCACCTCCAAGGCCTTCCTCGCCACACGCTCCACAGCCTCGCGCCTCTCGAAGGCACCGACGCTCACCACTCTTCGGGAGTTCAATCCCGAGGGCATCAACGACGCAGGCAACGCTGCCACCACCACGGCCGAGCTCGCCAAGGCCGCCATAGTCACCACTACGGGAAAGCAAAAAAATTTGCTGAACACAGACGCAATGCGAGAGATGCAAAAATGACTTCGCGATGGAAATGAAGCACGAAGGCTTGCGACGAAGGCGATCGTGTGATGGCGAATAAGGAGATAAGAAGATTGCAAATCCGGGTGGTGGATAACGAATGGGTCGCCGCTTTGCGAGCTTGAAGCCATGGTGCCACGGGTGGCCAGGAGCCCTTCACTTGTCTGGGACTTTCTCTCACCCGTCGTCTCCTTTTCCACAGTGTGAAAAGAACCCTCGCTGTTATCATGTTTCCTTTTTTATTTTCATGATTTTTTCATGTTTTATTTATTTATTTTTAATTTAAGTTTATTAAAGCTTTGACTTTTTGTGAATTGAATGTGGGTATAGTAAAATAGTGCTGCTTGAAGTGATTGAGCACATACTTTTAATAAATAAATAAATAAACAAAAAATATATTTATATATTAAAAAATAATTAAAAAAAGTATATGTAAACAAATATAGAGTACACTGTGTGCAATTATTTTTGCGACTTTAATAGGCTTCATGATTATCGTCCCGGAATTTTTATAACAAATGTATCTTTTATTTTAGCAGGAAATCAATTAATTGTTGCATATTTAGTAAAAGAGATCATATATTTGAAATAACGGTTGTCCCTGCATTAGTATTTAAGTAGGTCTTAATCTAAGCAATTGCAACAAGATTTCAAAAAATATAACTCTAAAGATAAGTATTCCATATTAAAAAAATACAAGTTTGACCTAAACAACACAAAGGTTAATAATTCTTAATTCCAATTATTATTCGATTTTGAATCTTTTTTGTATTTTTTAGGTGATCTATAACTATTTGCAAGTAATTTTCTAAATATTGGTATAAATTTAGAATAAATGCAACATCAAAATCCTCCTTGGATAAGTAATTCCTTCTAATTTTTGGTGTCTTAATGGGAAATTTGATCTTCACATGTTTTCTTTTTAAATTAGGACACCAAAAATTAGAAGGAAAATGTTAGCTGAACTCAAGACTATTTATTTCATCAAAAATATATTTATTTGATAATGCTTTCTAGTAATGTGATATCTATAAGGAAATTTATAAAGTATTCACTTCATAAATTGAATTTCTATCTAACTTGTTTTAATTCTATTTAAGAATAGAATTGTAAAAAGAGTTCATATTGTTTTGTTTGTCTTCTCTTCTTTGTCGAAAGCCCACTTATTCCATTTCCTTTTATCTTGAAGCCAATTTCTCTTTTAGGCATGAAAGAATCAAAGAGTGGGATCCTCAACAACACATAGAATCCATTCTTTTCCATTTTTCCATTTATCTCACATTTGGTATACTTCCACAATAAACAGAGAAAAAGCCAACCACCACATCACAATATCTAAAAGGCATCATCGAAGCTCAAAATTTCAACCAAAAGCTTCAAATGTTCCACACAAAGCAGCAGTCGAAATCCTGACGCAGTCGGTGGGGGAAGCGCAGGATTCTGTCGGCACCCACTTGAATATTCTCACGGGTTCCGGCATCTTCCAGTGCGATTTGCGCTGGAGATCGGCGGCTCTACGTGTAGCAGCTGCTGTTGCAGATACCATGCCCAACATGATTGGTAAACTGTTCATGGTGCAGGATCACCAAGGCTGAGAATCTAGAGCATCAGAGTCGCCTACACAAACCACAGCGCAAGATCTAGACACGAATGGGCAGAGAGGCGAAGGCTTCGAGGGCATTGAGTGTGCAGGAATCGTGAACCGGGGGATGGTTAGAGTGTGGAATCGCGGCGACCGCGATGTGGCTGCCTCCCAGAACCACCGCCTGCGAGCCACACAACGATAGGCGCTTCATGCTGAAGCACGCACTGTCGGATCATGTTTGGGTGAACCCAAAGGGCAGACACGCGGCAACAACCTGCGCTGCATGACTGTCGACGCGGTCGTCTTCGCTGCGTCTTTAAACGTCGGCCGCGCCTGTCCCTGTGGCCGCACACCTTTTCGGTGACTGGTTCCATTGGGGCTGCTGACCAGCAGCTGATCCCAATCTCTCGGTGTAAACGCTCCCGAGGTCCATCGCAATCAGGGAATGGATTCCAACCATGATGGTGTGGTCATGTGATCAGCTCCGTCGATGGAAACGCAAGCGGCGTGTGTGTGTGTCCGGAGTGTGGTGCAGGTTGTGGTTTCGCTCATCAAGCGGTGGTCCTGCTTGCACCTGGACGCCTTGTGTTAATCGGACAATGGGACCCGGAGTGATGGATTTTGTAATCTGAAGTCCGGCACACGACTTCTCCCTACCTCTGCATCATCGCTGGTCTGGGTGGGAATCATTTTGCGAGTGGCCCCATGAGCCAACTGCACCGCCACCATCGTCCTCGAAATTGGTTCTCAAAGCATCCAATACCCCTCCGATTGTTCGTTCGTTACTTGTAATACAAAAAAAAATGTATAAAAATATATAAATAAATAAATAAATAGGGTAGTGCTAATTTTCCACCACAATATTTGCAACTGTCATAGTGACCACATGTCACTTTCATTATAAAAATGTAGTGGCAATACTAATCATTTATATATATATATATATATAACTTAGTTTTTTTTTTGAATTTTTTAATATATTTTTCATATTTATAATATATATTAAAAAATTTAATATAAATTTTTATTAGAATAAATAAAAACTAAAGAAATATGTTGAGTGAGTAATGGATTGTAGTGGCACTACCAAAAATTGAGGTAGTACTATTAATACAATACTTATATATGATTACTTTTAGTATTTGTATAATTGTCATTATGCATAAATCCAAAGAGCATAGAACATAATTTTGTGATTAATTATGTTCTAGCAACTTAGTGCCTTTTAGCTTGACATGGTGTAAATTTGGTCCTCAGTAAATTAACTGTCAATTAATCTTTTTTGTCTCCATAATAAATATTTAGCTTTTAATTTGATTATATTAAAAAATTTAATTAGTCTCTTATTATCAAATTCTTTGCAATTACTACCACATCTCAATCTATATGTATGTTCTACTTGCCATGATATACCTACCGTTTTATGGTTACCTCTTTCATAAAAATGTGCACTAAATTTCTAAATGACTTTTTATGCTCAATATTTTAAGTAGTATTTTTTATATTTTTTAAAAAATAAATCATTTCTTTATAAACCTTAGTTTTAGGGATTTTGGATAGTAATTTCTATTACTTCTTTTATCATTAATTGCCATTTTTTGTGAAGAACAAATGCAAAAAGAGTTAAGTAAATATTCAATTCTTTATTAGAAGCTATAGATAGTATTTTCTTTAATTTACAAATCATATTTTTATTTTTCTTATAAATATAATTTAGAATTGTATGTTAACTAGAAATTATTTTTTACATATCTTTGGTAGCAAGTTCATTAATATGATTTTTAGCAATTAAGAATGTTTTAGTGAAAAATGACACAAGATTGCTATTTCTAAGGCAACACTTTATCATAAGAAAATTTCAAAGTTCATTTGTATATTTATTTATTTTTATTATAAATTTTTTTTATCTAATATAAAAATTAAATTAATTTATCTTGTGAGGATTATTGGGAGTTCTTGTATTATAAAATTTTATTAAAATTTTAGGTTATTTTTTATGTTTTTTATTAATAAAATTTAAATTGAAATATGAAATATTATTTATCTTTTGATTATTTGATAATAAATTCTAAGTGTTGTTCATAACAATATCAAACTTATATATTGACTTTATGTTAATATTTTTTTAATATTGATATAATAGAAATATAAAATATTTTTGTATCTATTATAATTGAAAACTTTGGAAAATTAAAATGATAAAAGAAGTGATAAAGAGATAGCTAATTTTTATACTAATATAAATATTTTTCATAATAAATAGTCTTTAATTATAATATTTTATAAGATGCTTGTATTACTTAAATAAATAGAAGTAAAAATAGAAAATATTAAATAAATAACATATTTTTTTAGGGACTCTTTAGATGTTTTCTATTTTCATATTAAATATTTAAACTTCTAAGATATGCAACTTATCCATTAAAACTTCTCATATAAGATTTTTACTTTTTAGAAGTTGCATCAAATGCAATCTATAACTTAATGCTTGGGTGTTTGTCTAAAGGTTATGTTGGTCAGTGGTGCACTGTGGAACAATAAGAATGATATATGAACACACCTAAGATGTAAATGCTCCCTTTGATATAATACTTCTCGGCAACACCACTAAGTGTACGAATATTCTAGACTAAATGAATCAATATTCTTTCTTTTATTTATTTGAATACAAAACATTATATAGTTTTGCTAGGCTAAGATACTCATAAAATATAACAAACAAGCTTGTTATGTTTACAACATTAATTCTTGAACATCTGAATTTTGAAGAAATAGAGTAAGAGAGAAAGAAAGTATATTTCTTCACTAGTTTTTATAATACCTAAAAGTTTCATAATCACCACTTCTATCCTAAATTAGCAATGGTGCTATAACTAGTTATCAATAGTTGGGTCTTTATCCAATCTCTTAATGTATCAACATCCTTTAATACTATTACTTTTGCTAAAAATTGCTAACATCATCCATGGCATTGACATTGGGCCATAAGCTTTATGGTTGTTTTAAAGCTTTTACAAGACTTTTAAGGTAGCTAGTTGTAGAATAGGTAAATAAACTTTGTGGTAAGTTACTGATTGATTATTGATAACCTTGAAAATTAGATTGATGGTTAGGCAGTTTAGTTGGTAACAGTAGGTTGTTAGTCGAATAAATAATTAAGAATTCAAAGGATCATAACCTTTGGAATCTGCTAGCAGATGGTCCATCTTTTGGTAGGATAAAGAAGTTGAAGAAAGGGAGATCGGGGCCAGACTGTGATAGTCGTAAGCTAGGGCAAGCTTGGTGCTACCTCTTTTTGTTTCTTTGTTGTTGGCGAGTAATGGATAGTTTCTAAATACTGAGAAGTTAGTCTGGAGTGCTAGACTGTGACAGTGTCACGGACACGGAAATACAGGCTCAAGATCTAACAAGAAGTTCAAGAAGAACTGACAAGAACTAGATTAATCAGATGAATACAAGAACAACACTAGAGAGGTGAGCTAGAGCTCCAAGAGATGTGTTGTCGAGACTGAAGAACTCTTCAGCCTCGATTCTAATATATACTCC